AATTTAGGGGTTCAAAAGAATAGGTTTTAACTTACAAAGTAAAAGCAAAATGCTACTGTTTTGAAAGTAAACTTTCAAGATTTTTCAGAAGTTTTATAAAAGACATAATCTCACACCAATATCTACCATGTCATGGTAGAATCTGTACATTAACCTTTTGTAATTATAACAAACAAATCAGAAAAGAAGCATGATGTTCCTGTATATTAAGTAAAAGAAAAGCATGTTATTTTGTAATTAGGATAGAAAAAACTAAGTAGTAAATGTGGTTATTAGATGTTAAAATAAATATGATTGTAAAATTAAAAATCAGGACATAAATAGGGCATATTTAGAATGCAATCTTAGGTGCAATGTGCAAAGAATAAAATGGTATTAGAAATGCACACAAAGAAGAATAAACATGCACAGTTAATTCAGCTAACGAATATGAACATTAATTCTGCCACCATTTATAATTCTGACTTTCCTAGCAGAATCATCTCATTTTTATTTCCTTCCATCAGTTTCTCCAACTGAGAAATGTTGAATAAGGACTTCCATATCCACAAGATCTAACATAGGTCCTAATTTATCATCTAATCTCCTCCTTCAAGGAACTCATAGCAAGTATCATTATGTGCCAAATACCCTCCCAGACAATAGGGTAGTTGTAGTGAACCTATGGCATGTATGGTATTTGATTTCCTTTTAAGGCAGAAAATGTTAATGTATGAGCTGTTTTTTCTAAAGTAAAACCCCAGTATTCAGGTTGAAATGCAGTGTTGACATATTGCAATAAATGAGTTTTGGGTTGCAGTTTGGGCACTCGTCTCTAAAAGGTTCGCCATCACTGCAATAAGGTCACAGTCATGAACCAAGCAGGATGGCTCTTGTTCTGCCCAACTACCTTGAGAGAAGCAAACACTGAATAAGGAGCCCCAGGTGCATAGGTGGAGTTGGTCCTAAGGGGCACATAGCGCCTCAGTGGAAGTTAACTGTTCTAAAGGTGATAACTTTTAAGCTGGGATTTCAAAGGTGGGTAATTAAAGGCCAGGAAGTGGGGACGGATGTCCCTGGTAGACAGGAAAAGAAGGGAGACCTTCAGGAAAACATCAGGAACAGAAATTCCAGCATGACAGGAGCAGAGAGACTGAAGGGGAAGAGCTGTGATTGAGTGTAGAGCATGAGGGAGCGAAGGAGGGAAATGTCAAGTTCAGTTCTTCCTTCATCATATGGACATTGGACTGGACCTGATGAGGTTACTGTGGGAAAGAAATACTGGAGAAAGTTAGCCTTGTGGAGAGACTACTTTTTTTTATGCTCTGAACTTTGAGATCACTGTGTGGCAACCACACAGAAAGTCATATATTATTATCTGGAGCTGCTAAGGGATGTTTAAATGATCTGGACAGATATTTTTATACAATTATCAAAATACATGTACAAGAAATCATTTAAGTAGATAATGTTGCCTAGGGAGAGGGAAGAAAATAAGACTAGGATTTAACTGAAGAAATCATCACATTTTAGAGCTGGTAACATACAGAGTGCGCGTGCATTTTTGTACCTAGAGGCTGCTTAAGAAGATATTTACAGACCAGGCCAAAAAAACTGCTCAATGAATCCTTCCTATATATTCAAACTATCCTAGAAAAAAGTATAAAGTAGGATAAGTTTTTCACACCTCAACACAAATCATGATATACGTATCTGTTAAGACTCACAACAAAGAGTTGATTGTCATATGATTCAGAGACCCCCCGCAAAAAGTTGTTTTCTATTATAGTTTTTGGATGATTATTCCATGTTTACAATAGCTTCATCAAACCCATGATTTTGACTTAATCATTAGAAATATTAACAATGAAGAATTTATCCCTATGAACCATGAAATGATTGGTCTTACTTATGAAGAAAAGTTAAATTATTTAAGGCCTTTATTCTTCAAGAGTATTTTCTAAACCACTCAGGTTTCCTCTTTTCCACCACTTTAAATAATTCTATGGAAACTGTGATATAAAATAGTGATACTGGCAATGATGCAACATTTAGTCTAACCTGAGCTACTTATATGAAGGTAATTAGTTGGCACTTGAACAGCATTTAAGTGCCCAGCTTTTAAGGGATTACCTCTTGGGCCAACTGTGGCATTTACTTATTGCTAAATATTAAAAATAAGTGGTAATCATGAAATTATATGGTCATTTTTTTCTTTGAGCTTATTTTGGAATGGA